TCAGCTGCCCCCTGCTTTCTCGGCTCCGTCCTCAATACCACTCTATAGCTTGTTTGCTCACATCACATTTCAGTCAAGCTGAGCACAAGCGAAGGCCCAGGTGGTGTCTATTAATTGCTGTACGGTGTTGTTACCCTTCCTAATCATACAGTCATTTTCGGGCCCACCCCCGCCAGGTTGGGCATCTGTACTGTTTCCAGCTCTTCACTGTTACCGTGAACTCCATGTCCACATCTTGTCTGAGTGTGCCCAGGGCTGTTTTAGTGGCCTGCCCCACTGGACAGAGGCAGCACACAGGCTGATGTGCCGCTGAGTCCTGGAGGCCAGCTGCCACCACGAGTCGCCCTGTGAACAGGCCCCCATGGCAATGGACTGGGGCCACCTTGGGCCAACAACCAGCAGAGGAGTGAGCTGTCAGCCCAGCAGCCCGGAGTCGTGGCGTCTGGTCACTGCGGCGCTGGGGGGTGGGTGGCAGGGGGCAGAGCCTCCCAGGAGCTTTCAAGGGGCCTGCAGCCCTGCTGGGCACTGCCACACAGCCTTCCCAAAACCCTGAGGCAGAGGCAGCCAGCTGAGGCACCGTGATTCCTGACACACAACTCCCAGACAATAAATGTTTGTTTTTTAAAGTCTCTTAAATTTGGGGGAAATTTGTTACACAACAACAGACAACTGACGTGATGTTCCTGGCAGTTTCTCCAGAGAATTCCTGCAGCTGGAACCACTGGGTCATGGTACCCACATCTTCAACTTTACTATACTTGTCAAAATGTTACCAGTAAACATCCTGGATTAGAAGTAGGTAGGTAGACTCAATTATAACTGGTAAGCCAGGGAAATGACTTCTTATTTGTGCCTCCTGTAAGTTACAGTAACTATTCGGCAGGGCACCCTCATCTGCTCACTATGTCCTCTTGCCTGCCGGCCTCAAGCTCCACACTTTGGCTACCGGTCAGTTCTATTTGGGGTAATTATATCCTACAAAGTCCCTTCAAACACTGGGTTAGTGAACGCTGAACCATTGCTCCTGTAGAAATATGAGGTTAGGTTCCTTTGAGCCTCTGGTCACTGCATTTTCACCCAGTGATCAGAACAGACTTGTTTTCTGTTATGTGCTTCAGGCCCTCACTGCACTGTGGACGCAACACTGAGCTGACAGCCGGCTGCACCGTGACTCATGCCTGAGAAGCCTCCAGCACTCCCATCTTCTCCACAGGGCACACCACAGCCTTTTTGACTTGGGGGACCCTGGCAGCACCCCAGCACCATGTGTAGGGACCATTCTGACCAGTGAAGTCTCCAGCAAGAGGCACACAGATGTGGGAAATGTGTCCTTAAACATCCCACAGAAAGGACATTCATTAACAGAGCTGAAGCAAGAATGCAGGGCACCCCCTGGTTCCCCCACGTGCCAGGGACATCCACGTCAGGTGACCCTAATTTGGGCCATTCTGAGTATGTCTGCAAATGACCACCAAGCGCTGCAAGGATTCATTTTAACAAGCAGGTGAGCTCACTAACATGGAATCTGCAGATAACGACGACTGTGTATCTATCTACCTCTGTGACGCGAGGTTCCCAGGCCACACTGTGCCTGGGCATGGGGTCTGGGGCAGAAGCTGTGCCAAGCATGTGGCACCCTGAGTTTATTAATGATCCTGATCAGTGACCATGGGCTGGACACCATGCATCTGTCCTCACCGTGGGCATGGGTGACATTGTGGCAGGCGGGGTCCTGCCTTGCTGAGTTGGCTGTATGTGTGTGGGGTGTCCAGTACTGCTCCATCCAGCTCTGACTCAGGGACATCACATCCCTAGTCAGAGTCTGGCGACTCCCTTGCTGTAACCCTCTGGACACAGGTTGGGGCCTCTGTAAGCCTGTGCTGATGGCAGTGCCTGAGTCCCTGTGGCAGCTCACACAGCTGCCAGCCCCACACAGCTGGCACCCCGGGGGTGTGACTTCAGGCCCTGGAGCCCTTGGTCACGGGTGGTGGTGGTGGGGGAGGCTGTAAGCACCATTCTGAGGTGTGATGCCAACCTGGGCAGTACTGCAGCACACCACTGTACCTCCTGTGTCCTCTCCCTCAGCCCTGGCACCCCTCCCAGACCTCTTCACAGCTGTGGTATCCCCCTCTTGTGGCTAAGTAGTTTGTCCCAAAAACATCCCTCAGAATTACTGCTGCCTGCCCACGCTCACCACACACCTGCACCGCATCCCCTGGCAGCTCAGGGAGTTCTCCCTATTGCCTGCTGCCCTGAGTCCCTACCTAACCTGGAGCTCCCACAAAGCAGTTCAAGTCTGGCTCACAGAGCTACCCCTACCCTGCAAAATAATGAACGGAAACCAGAGCGGCTGGTGTGTGGTCCCCGCAGTGTTTGTACAGAGAAACATAAGACCCTGAGGTTCCCTCTGGTCCCCAGGCAGGTTACTTGTTTCTCCATAGGCCGGGAGTGTGGGTGTCATTCTGAGGAGACCCCCATAAGGGCACTGGCATCCTTAAGCACCCTGCTTCCCCCCCAACCCCATTCTGGGTGATGGGGCCACGCTACCACCCCCACCCCAGCTCAGAGCCCCATTGTTTCCCATGGGCTCACCTTCCCCTTCCTCTGTCCCCCTCCTCACTGCTTCCAGCTCCTTCCCACCCTGACTCGGCTCCCTCTGACCACAGGCACCCACACACATCCCCACACTCTAACACCAGCACACACACACACACAC